CGGCTGCGTTATCACCCTTGGAAGAGCAGGGAGACACGGAAGCTGTGGGGAAAGAAGCGGCCCCCCTCCACATGCAGACCCTCTTCAAGCTGCCAGCAGCAGCAGGAGGGAGTCTGTGAGATGGTGGCTCCGGGGGATGGGAAGCTGGTCCAGCTGAGAGAGACGACCTTGAAAGAGGGGAGAGGCCTAACCAGCTGGTGTCTAGTGTGTGGAGCTGGGAGGGGCAGGCCGGGGGAGGAGAGAGGGAGAGAGCCAGACAGCAGGGGGGGTGGGCGGGCCACATCTGCTGGCCCTCCTTCCTTCAGGCTAGAAGCAGGGACACAGGAGCACGTGGGTGCTGGGCTGTCCGCACACCTGCTGGGTGGGGTGCAGCGTGCCCTTGAGGCCTGGAGGTTTCCGAGCTGAGATCCGCGGAAGCCATCTCCTCCTCATCACCTCCGGTGCAGCATCCGTGTGCAGGCCGGCAGCTCTGCAGGTGGCAGGCACTTTGCCAGTCTGGGAAATGCTCTCTTTGCTTTTCAGAGAGCTCTTGGGGAGTGGGGAGGGGGATACTGATCCATGGTTCCAGTAGGTGTGGCTGCGATTTCCATTTCTGCTGCAGGAATTCCCAAGTGAAGGTTGTCTCCCTCACTCCCCCTTGTGTTCCCATCTGTTAAGTCAACTTGCTCTTGAGCAAATCACTTAGCTTCCATTTTCTATCTGTAAAGCAGAGATAATAATACCATCTGCACAGAGTTACAGGGACTATAAATTCAACCCCATATGTCAAAGAGATCTGCAAAGTGCCAATTTACAGCATAACCATAAGAGATTATTATTCAGGGAGGAAATTTAAGGGAAAACAAGCTGCAGGGCAGGGTCAGGGTGAGGAAACCCTCTCCGGCTCTAGCCCCTCAAGCATGCCTGCCTCCTTCCGTTCCCCACCCATCCCTTCCCGGCCTGGGCTGGCTGTGGAGTTGAAGACAGGCGGCCGACAGGGCGGTCACTGCAAACACTCCCTCTTTGCTCTGCCTCTTCCCACAACAGTCACAGAACTGGTCAGGGCGCCTGCCTGGAGCTAGAACCGTCCTGAGGCCACGGGGGTGTTGCGGGGGGGCGGTGGTGTGGGTGCTCCCCTTTGCTCAGGGCTGGCAGGAGGGCTACCAGGAGCCTCCCATGAGCAAGGGTCCTTGCCAAGTGTGCCACGGTGGAGCACGGTGCTGCCTGCCACCGAGGACCTGCACAAGGGAGGCTAGGAAAGACTGGCTCTTGGAAGAGGTGGATCTAAAGCCAGCATAGCCCTGTCCATCGGCGTCAGCAGTGAGGTGCCTCCCTGACTGACTGGACCTCCTGCAGTCCCCTCCTCTCTGCTCTCCCTTTCCTGAAGTGGGGGCTCATTCCCATCATCTTTCCACTCCTCAGGACAGGAGACCCTCAGTCCGGATAAAAAGACACCCTCTCTTTCCCCTGCCAGGCTCCAAGCCTAGCTTCTCTAGGTCCTGGAGAAGAGCCCCCAGATCCTTCAGTCAAGATGAAACAGCTGCTGGGATTTCTCCTCCCTCCCTGCTCCCTGGGTCACGGGAGGGCCCAAAGATGCACTGTTTAGAATTTCTGTGGGGGAGGGGGGGCGGCCAACAAGGGCATGTTTTCTGTTCCTTGGGTTTCCCTAGCCAAAAATAGGGGATTAGTTAGGAGGCAGCTGCGGAGGCAGCAGGCCCCTGGGGAAATTCTACCCTGCACAGCAGGCTGAGCCTCAGGGAGGAAACTGCCTGCTGGGCTGGCCTTGACAGCAGTGCCTGCGCTGTGTGCTGTGAGAACAAGACTCGGCTCCCTGTGCTTAGAGGGCCCCAGGTCTGAATCCTGGCCCTGCCACTTATTAGCTGTGTGGATGTGGGTACCTCCCTTCCATAAGCTTGTTTTGCCATCCACAGTATGGAGATCAACATCACTATTAACTAGAGTGCGGCTTGGGGCTAAGTGAGTTGATGTGCATAAAAACTCCTAATATACATCTGGCAGAATCCAGGAGTCCAGAAATCCTTAGTCCACTTCTGCTACATGAGAACAGGGGTCAGATGCCTTTCTTTACTTAGCACGTATTAACCTCAGGGTGTGAGGGTATGATGCAGTTTCTGGTACCTGAGAGCCCCACTTCTGGAAAATTTCTTTGGTTCTTTTTACTGGATTATTTCAAATCAGGGTTTCTTGCTCTCAGGGATCTTGTGGTTTCTAGCTGCTGCATGCCAAGGCCTTGTCATAATCAAATAGTGTGGGATAGGGAGAGGATGTGACTGGGGGATGAGAGAGAGAGGTCCTCGGGTCCTGGAATCCTCGGATCCCCAGGGAGAGAGGGCAGACAGCAGCAACTTAACCGGGTCCCTTCCCAGCCACTCTCGGTTTGCAGCTTGTGTGTGGAGTCTTCTCTAGTTCTCAAAGTCTTCATCTGAAGAATGTGAACTATAGTCCCTGACTGGTCTGCTTACAGCACTGGCCTGAGCATCCACAGTGCTTGCAGAAGTGCTAGACAGAGGCGGAGGAGGCAGACAGATGGGTCCCCTCCCACGTGGACCACAGGACACACCCGTTCATCCAGACATGAGGATCACCTGGGGGCACTGAGTGGTTGCTTGGCTGGCTCCCAGTCCTTCAGCTTTCAGCTTAGACATTGATTCTTCAAGGTCTCTTGGACCCTTAACCCGTGTCCCCCTTCTGGAAGTTCTCATAGCATTTTGTATATTCCTTTTACAGTATTTATCATGAGTTGAATAGTGTGGTTACTTGTGTGATTATCTGTTCAACACATGTCTTCCACACTCAACTCTAAGTTCCATGAAGAAAAGGAATATGTCTGCTGCATATCATCTNCATGGAGCTGCAAAGAGTCAGACATGACTGAGCAACTGAGCACATACACCCCTCTTCTATGCTCCAATGAATACCTGATGCCAAGCATTCATCTATTACCACCCCCTTGTCCACAAAGTCCTTATAAGAAGAAAGATGACATCTCTCCTACCATTATAATTCAAGGAGTAAGTTGGTCAGGTCATAGTTGCCCTTCTTCCCATTCTCCCAGCACAGTGGGCCCCGCCCTGAATCCAGGAAAGCTGCAGATGAGTAATTGCTGTATTTATTTATTTATCTTTGTACAAGGCTGCCATCTGGTGGTTAAGCACGGAAGAGAGTGTGGCCAGGAAGAGCCAGGAATAGGTAAGCGTTGCAAGAAGGGCCTCCAGAGGAAGACTCATGTCTGTTCCCATCCTTAGAAAAGGCTCCCTCCATGTCTAACAGCCAGCTTCGGCATAGGAAAAGCAAGGAACTTTCAAAAGCCCCAGAAACCCCACCCTACCCGCAGTGGGGTGACCTGGATTTAGGGGGAGTCTAGTTTAAACAGCTGTTTTCGTCCTCAGTGTTGCTGGCAAAGGCTTAAGAACAGGCTCTCTCTCTAATAAAATCCTAATACGTAGTATTTACTAATTCTGTGGTATAAATACTCCCACCATAGCCAATTTCAAACTACCAGTGTGATGTCACTAAAAGCATGTCATTATATAGTATTTCCACTACAGATACCACAGACATAAATAAGTTCAAGAACATGGTTAATAGTATAACATAATAAAATAATTGGGAAGTGGTGAGTTTGAGTATTTATTGCATTTGTTTTCAACATAAAATATTTAATTGTGAGCTTATATGATTTAGTTTTTAATAATGACTGCATTTAACAACTGGCTTGAAAAATTCTGGAAAATTTAATAATCAGTTCTTGCAAGCCTAGTAGTAAGAACTGGTTTCAGCACATGACTGCTTATTCCCCTTCCTCTTCTCTTTCTGTTCCTCCTCTGCTTCTTACATGATTCTTTTGGCCTTCTGTGTGGGTAGGAAGAATGTGGAATATGGGAAAGAGCTTTGCTGCAGACATCTCTATTCTTTGATCCAGGAGCCATAAGGTGTTAAGGAAAGAGGACGGAGAGATGTAAATCTGGCTCCTGGAGGACATTTCAGTGTGTGTGTGTGCGTGTGTGCGTGCATGCATGTGTGCATGTGTATATGTGTATATGTTTGCGTGCATGTGCATGCGCATGTGTGTGCGTGTGTGTGTGGGTGTGTGTTGAGGGAGGGGGAGCAGTGGGTTTTTGCCACTGGATCTTGAGGCTGACTAACCCCTGGATGAAAGGTCGCTGTTTAGGAGGCGGGCAGACTTAGACAAAGCGGCCGGTGGGGAGCCGAGGCAGGCAGAAGTACGCACTGGGGAAGAGGCTCAGGTTGATGGGATTGCCGTCCAGGCGGACGTCTTCCAGCTGCCTCCTGGTGTGTCTGTGCTCCTCGGCGTCGCAGAAGACGTCGCTCCGCATGGTCTCTATCATGTTATTCTGGAGAGAACACAGCTGTGATGCTTCTCTGCCTGGTGAGTCTGCCCTCAGGCAGCACGGAGGCGGGCTCAGGCCTCTCCCTACCAGCCCATCTCCTCCCCTTTGCAACTGGAGACACCGAGGCCCAGAGGCTGGGGCCACATCCAGGGAAGGAGCCTGGGGACCCACTGAGGACGGAGAAGGGGGGAGGGAGAGGGGGAGGTGAGCAGGGGTGAGCACTGCGTGAGGTGGGATAAGAACGTGGAGGAGAAGTGTTTTAAAAGGCAGGAAGGGGAAGGAATGAGACAGAGGCTGTAGACAGTGGTCTGAGTGAGAGGCACCAACTCTGGTCTCCGAGCTCTCAGTGACGGAGACCCACCACTGCTGAAGGGGGCTCCCTGCAATCTGACCTCCGCCTTCTGTGCCGTTCAACACCCTTGTTCCCGGAGCAGCCGTTCTTACATGATTCTTTTGGCCTTCTGTGTGGGTAGGAAGAATGTGGAATATGGGAAAGAGCTTTGCTGCAGACATCTCTATTCTTTGATCCAGGAGCCATAAGGTGTTAAGGAAAGAGGACGGAGAGATGTAAATCTGGCTCCTGGAGGACATTTCAGTGTGTGTGTGTGCGTGTGTGCGTGCATGCATGTGTGCATGTGTATATGTGTATATGTTTGCGTGCATGTGCATGCGCATGTGTGTGCGTGTGTGTGTGGGTGTGTGTTGAGGGAGGGGGAGCAGTGGGTTTTTGCCACTGGATCTTGAGGCTGACTAACCCCTGGATGAAAGGTCGCTGTTTAGGAGGCGGGCAGACTTAGACAAAGCGGCCGGTGGGGAGCCGAGGCAGGCAGAAGTACGCACTGGGGAAGAGGCTCAGGTTGATGGGATTGCCGTCCAGGCGGACGTCTTCCAGCTGCCTCCTGGTGTGTCTGTGCTCCTCGGCGTCGCAGAAGACGTCGCTCCGCATGGTCTCTATCATGTTATTCTGGAGAGAACACAGCTGTGATGCTTCTCTGCCTGGTGAGTCTGCCCTCAGGCAGCACGGAGGCGGGCTCAGGCCTCTCCCTACCAGCCCATCTCCTCCCCTTTGCAACTGGAGACACCGAGGCCCAGAGGCTGGGGCCACATCCAGGGAAGGAGCCTGGGGACCCACTGAGGACGGAGAAGGGGGGAGGGAGAGGGGGAGGTGAGCAGGGGTGAGCACTGCGTGAGGTGGGATAAGAACGTGGAGGAGAAGTGTTTTAAAAGGCAGGAAGGGGAAGGAATGAGACAGAGGCTGTAGACAGTGGTCTGAGTGAGAGGCACCAACTCTGGTCTCCGAGCTCTCAGTGACGGAGACCCACCACTGCTGAAGGGGGCTCCCTGCAATCTGACCTCCGCCTTCTGTGCCGTTCAACACCCTTGTTCCCGGAGCAGCCGCTCACCTGCAGGTGCAGCGAGCGCAGGCTCAGGGGCAGGGACCGGGGGATGGCATCCAGCAGGTTATCAGCCAGGTAGAGGAACTGCAGCTTCTCCAGTGCCTGGGGAGGAGGCAAAGGAGGCGGGGGGCTGGTGGGCTCTGTGGGGCCCTAGGAGTGAGGGGTGCTGAGGTGACCCCATTCCTTCACTCCTGGGCCCGTCTCCTGGGCCTCAGGCAGGTGCCGGGTCCTGAGCTGGGTGCTTCAGGGACGGCTCATCTCCTCCCACTGGATGCAGAAGGAACAGCTGCTGTAGCTGAGTGCCATGAAGTGGCTCAGCAGTGTCAGGGGGACTCTGGAAGGAGCCAGCAAGGGGCAGGGACGGCTGGGAAGCAGGCCAGCAGGACATTCTGGCCCAGCTTCAACACCCCTGCTATCAGAAGGGACTTTCCCAAGTGAAAAGTCTCCAGAAGAGAAAAACAATCTCCAGATGCTAAATCTGGACCAAATATGGAGAGCACGGCTGGGAGATACTCGGACCAGCGTGAGGAGAGTCACAGGCACGATGGAGAAAGTTGTGCGTGTGAGTGTGACAGCTGGGGTGTCAGCCTCACTCACAGCTCTCTCCGTTCCCCCACTGGGACTGCCCCCAGGGCTCCCTGGACTGCTGAATGGGCAGCCCAGGGGGCCGTATCCGTGCCATGCGTTTAGCCCTTCCTGTTGAAACTGGCTAGCCAGGGACCAACCAGATTGTCTCTCTTGAGAAATTGCTCCTAGAAGGACCATGGTTGGTCAGTTAGTGGTGGGTTCTGAAAACAAAAAGATATGCAGAGTGAGAGCAGGAATCAGCACAATTCCAGGTCAAGTCCCATGTTAGTCCAAGTGTTTGGGGAGCAGAACGCGAGTGTGTGGAGAACACCGGGGCACAGGGAGGTGCACGGGAGAACCCAAGAGGCCAGGCTCCCCGACAGGGAGAGGGGGGCTGCTGGCGGCTGAGGTGAAGAAAACGGGGCTTGGCCTTTCTGGTAAGTGGCCTGAGGTGAGCTCTAAAAACAGCTCTCTATCCACCTGACCCAGGAGACCCCACAAAATCATGCAAATCGAGAGGTTTAAATCCTCTTGTTCACTTGAAGAACTTTCGTGAAACTGCCCAGGTCACTAAGGGTATGCATATCTGAAAGGCTACCAAGTTACCTGAAAGATGTCACTTCACAGAAGCAATATGGGCCACCATTCCATTGTTACAATGGTAGAACTGGTAGGTGTGCCCAGGCCAAGGGGTGGGGCTGGATGCAGGGTTGGCGGCCCAAAAAGTGCTGAATTTTTACTGCATATGCTCAGAAATGCAGAGAGTAACGCTGGACTGAAAGGCTTAGATCCCTGGTCACTCAGCATCTCATGGGAACAAAGCCCCGAAGATGCACCTCGGGACTTGGATCAACCCAGAAATGAGCTCCCCCTGCCACACTGAGATGACCCTTACTGAAAAAGAACAGACTGTTCCTAAACCAGAAGAGGACGTTTGCACAGAAGAAAAAGATATCCTTTCAGAAGAAACCGAAGAAACAAAAACTGATGGCCTGGGAATAAACGCCACAAAAAATAAATGCAAATCAAAGCAAAAGATTAAAAAAAAAAAAAGAAAATGACATTTGACTTTCATGCCCCAGAGCAGGATTCGGACAGAGATATTCCATGAGGGCCAGGTGCGTGTCTGTGTGGTTGTGGGCACGGGTGGCATGCAGTAGACAGGGATGCAAGGCCTTGGCTCACCCTGAAGGCTTCAGGCTGTATCCCTGAGCTCTGGAGCCGATTCATGCGGACATCCAGGACCTCGATACTGGTGGGCAGCGCAGGCAGTGCTGTGAGCTTGTTCTCAGGGAGGATCAGATCCCGCAGAGCAGGCAGTAGGCGGAGGGCCTTGTCATCGATGGAGGAGATGGAATTGCCAGAGAGATCAATCCTCTTCAGTTTTGCTAAGAGGTGCAGAGCAGAACACAGGGACACACCATCTCCCCTTGCTCCTGCTGGAGCTGCCCACACCCTTCTCCTGTCTCAGCACAGGGGAGGCAAGCCAGGGCTCCACTTGCACCAGGGTCAAACCAGAAGGAAGACCTTGATAAACCTGGCAAAGTTCTCAGATTCCATGATACCTTCCCCTGGAGTGTCTGTCCTGTGTGGATTGGCTTGGAAGAAATCTTCCAAGGGTAAGACCCAACAGGTGCAGCAATTCCTGGCTCCATCCTACTTCTACCTGTTAGTTTACACAAACTAACAAAAGAATCCAAAAGAACTCTGAGGCCCGGGAAGCCTGTCAGCAATTAGCAGTAGAATCTGGGTTAGAGACCAGCTTTAGCCTGGTTTTGTCCAGAGGCCAGGAGGGCAGAGAGCTACAGCTGCTAGGACAGCCTGAAAACATAAGCTTGCTCATAGCTTTGCTTCCCCAGCTTCCCATAGCTTTGTGGAGCAAAAACAAGAACAGGTCACTTCTGCCATAGAAAAACCTTCAAGGCCAGGAATTAGACTAATTTCCAAGCTGGTGAGACTGAAAGCCACAGGGAAGGGCCGACACAGGTGGGGCACTCTAATGACTGTTCAGTGTGGCTGAGTGGCAAGGGAAAGAACCGAGGGGTTCCCTCTGCCCACCCACTCTTTTCTTTGCCAGGATGTTACATACTCAGCCCTTTGAAGTCTCCAGCCCGAATATGGCTGATGCGGTTGAACCGAGCGTATAAGTAGGCAGTCGTCTGGGGAAGAGGAGGGATATTCTCCAGGTCTGTGTCGTCACAGTACACAGAGGAACCGAGGCACACGCAGATTAGACAGGTTGGCAGGCCTGGTCCAGGTGGAGGATAGAACAAAGGGAGATTCCCCACACACACCCGTGAGACTCCCTCAGCCTCTGGGACCAATGGGAGACCCCCTCCCCCCACACACACCCCTGTGAGACTCCCTCAGCCTCTGGGACCAATGGGAGACACGCCACCCCCACCCCCACACCCCCTTGAGACCTGGCCAGGGAGTGTCTGAGCCGAGGTCACCTGTGTCTTCTCGGGTTGCCACCCAGACCGACTGTCACAGTGCCCCCGGAAGTGCTGCTGGCTGCTTAGGTCTGGCACTCAGCCCTTGACTGAGAGAAGCAGAGCCTCCCTCAGTTATTACCATTACAATCCAAGCCCTTAGTGCCTCCATCAGACCCGGGTCCTGTGTAGATTTTTCTGGGCCTACGTGGGTATTTCTAGGACATTTAGATGCAACCACAGAGGTGGGTGTATTAGTCTCCTTTCCATGGGGCTTCTCTCTGGCCCTCAAAATTGCACTGCAGATGATACAAAGCCAGCGCAATGGCCAATGGCTGCTGACTCTGACACCTGCCTTGTGGGCGAGGAATTAGGTTCTAGGTGGTTCCAAAAAGCGTAATAGAGTCAAGGTGGAGTGGACACTGACTGCCTAGGATTCATTTCCCCTTCTTATGATATCAGCATCTCAGTTTTCTGTTGGGAAACATCCCTCCCCTCTTCTCAGTCTATGACCAGTGGTCATGAGACTTAGGCCAGGCCACTGAGCTCAGACTGGCTTTAACGAGTTAGGAAGGTTTTATTGAACACTGCAGAAAGTTTCTATCTCTTGCTCTTAGAAAGGACAGAGGTTACTAAAGATCACTGCTAGTCTAGCTCAAAGAGGAACTCTGTTGGTAGTGACATGGACTCAAGATTAAGAGACAGCTTTTCCTCACCAGCCATGAAAGACAGTGTACTTATCCCCAGGTCTTGGATGGCAGGTCCAGCTGAGGCCCTTTAAGCCTGGGAGGCCATAGATTCCTGCCTGAAGTGTTTTTTTCTAATGATGCCTCATTACCCTGTACCCACTCAAGGCAAACATCTCAAGAGAAGAATAGGAACTGAGAACAAGCAATTCCGGAATTAACTGCATCCTCCTGTGCCTCAGTTCTGAACCCCAGCAGAGTGCCAACCCCCTACTGATGGATATGCCAGCATCTGAGTCTCTAGGAGGGCCTCAGGGAGTGGGGGAGAAGATGCTAGGGAGGGAATACAAGCTGAAAAGCAAAATAAATTCTTCATTTGCCCCCATGCCAAATGACAGCCACAAAGTTATTTATTCTTCTGTACAGGTTTTTAATTGTCTTTAATCTAATTACCACTCAACCTGCTCCCCCAGCGATGCCATTAATTAAGGTAGGTGGCTTTGCTAGGCACAGGGGAGTTCTTGCTTTCTTTGCCTTCCATCCAGGTTGTGCATTCAGGCAGAAGCATCAGGAACAGTCAGCCTCTCCCCGTTTCCCACGTTCCACCCCACGGCTGTTCCCCCTTCCCTCCCTGACCCTCTGCTCTCCACCCCTGACGACACTCCTCTTTGGCACCCCTGGTGCTCAGTCGTGGCTACCCAATCGGTGACCTGTGGCTACTGAGATTGTGCCTGTGAACTCACCATGTTTGGTCGGGGCAGCCAGTAGGCCTAGTGTCGGAGGCCTGGCCATCATGGGGTTTGAAGGGAGTGTCCTTGCAACCTCTGTGCTCTGAGTAAAACGTGTCCTGGTGAGAGAAGCCAGGCCGGTCCCTTTAACCTGGAGACACAGCACACAGTCAGTCAGTTTTTGCCTGAGAGGAATTTTACTTTGTAGTCTGGGAACTTCAGCAACCAATTCCAAGCTTACAGAGAGTCCCTGTGGAGAAGGGGGCGGGACGGGCAGAAAGTGTGACAAGCAAGGACTTTCTGAGCGTCTGGTCTCTCATCATGCTATGGAGGCAGAAACAGAGGTCCAGACAGGGAGGGCCTGAGCTCAGGGGGCCAGCAGGCGGCCAAGCTGGTGGGAGAGCTGGGACCTATCTCCAGACCGCCTGACCCGGGACCTTCCCTTGCCTGTGGGATCAGCTCACACAGCAAATGAGTGCAATCTTCATGTCAGCCCCTGCAAAGGCAGGCAGGGCTGAGGAATGGACCTCGGAATGGAAGGCAGTCTAGGACAGGATATTCATTCACGTGTGCAGGAATGTGCAGGCACCTGGCAAAATCTCATTTACTCATCTCAACATACACACTCATGCGTGTCCCCTTGTCTACATAACTCCCTACTAACTAGGCATACACAGATGTGCTCTCTTATACAGTCACTTATACAGGCACTCCTTTTTTCTAGGAGAATGTGAGGACACTGCTGATGTTCCAGTGAGATAGACTTTATGGTCTCATTTGAAGACAGAGGGAGGGAGGGATGTATGACTTCCAAGGGAAGGCTCACAATTTTTGCTACAAATGTGAAGTTTTGTGTCTTCTTTCTTAGCATTATTACTTTGTAGTCTGGGAACTTCAGCAACCAATTCCAAGCTTACAGAGAGTCCCTGTGGAGAAGGGGGCGGGACGGGCAGAAAGTGTGACAAGCAAGGACTTTCTGAGCGTCTGGTCTCTCATCATGCTATGGAGGCAGAAACAGAGGTCCAGACAGGGAGGGCCTGAGCTCAGGGGGCCAGCAGGCGGCCAAGCTGGTGGGAGAGCTGGGACCTATCTCCAGACCGCCTGACCCGGGACCTTCCCTTGCCTGTGGGATCAGCTCACACAGCAAATGAGTGCAATCTTCATGTCAGCCCCTGCAAAGGCAGGCAGGGCTGAGGAATGGACCTCGGAATGGAAGGCAGTCTAGGACAGGATATTCATTCACGTGTGCAGGAATGTGCAGGCACCTGGCAAAATCTCATTTACTCATCTCAACACACACACTCATGCGTGTCCCCTTGTCTACATAACTCCCTACTAACTAGGCATACACAGATGTGCTCTCTTATACAGTCACTTATACAAGCACTCCTTTTTTCTAGGAGAATGTGAGGACACTGCTGATGTTCCAGTGAGATAGACTTTATGGTCTCATTTGAAGACAGAGGGAGGGAGGGATGTATGACTTCCAAGGGAAGGCTCACAATTTTTGCTACAAATGTGAAGTTTTGTGTCTTCTTTCTTAGCATTATGTAAGTGACAGTTTCCTGTGGAGGAACAACAATTTCCACTTTGCAGGGAAAGATGGCGGCTTGAGACAGCTGATTACGAGGTAGAGAGGGACCAGGCCTCTGGTTCCCAGTTTCTTTCAGAGAATGCAGCGAGTCTGCTGCCTGGCCCTCACCTGGGGGAGCTGGTCCCCGTAGTCTGTGAGCTCGTCATAGTTGCTTGGATCAATGATCTCATCATAGTTGTCCAGGCTCAGGACATAGTCCCCCAGATGCAGAATGGCATAAGAATCGCCTTCTCCGTACGGCTGGTCTTCTTCCCTCTCCTCCTTTGAGAGAGATGCTGTCCCTGCTTCCTGCAGCATCAGGATCAGAAGGCTCAGTAAGGCCAGGAGCTTCATGGGGGTCCTGGCAGGTGAGGAATGGAATGAGAAGGGAGCCAAATCACTAAGGTGTCCTGTCCTGGGGGAACAGCTCACAAACTCATCCCACTTCCCACCCCCATGCTTGCAGACCCTTAAGCCGTTCGTCACACACTTAGGGTCTTCATTGCAAGTGCAGGCTCCCTCCAGGCTGGGGCTACATCTCAGGGGCTGTCTCCTGTCAGCCCCTGCTTTAGTCTCGGCCACACACTGATATTCATTCACGTGTGCAGGAATGTGCAGGCACCTGGCAAAATCTCATTTACTCGTCTCAACACACACACTCATGCGTGTCACCCTGGTCTACATAACTCCCTACTAACTAGGCATACACAGATGTGCTCTCTTATACAGTCACCCACTCAGAGTACAACAATTAGCCACTACACGAGATTTAGAGAAACTTCACCATTAAGGAAACCTGTGGTTTTTAAGAGGATCATTCATTCATTCGAGCCTTTGCCTGACAAACATTTATGAGCTATCTTAATAGTCCCAGGCCCTGGATTTGTCTCTGGGGGCACAGAAATAAGTAGGGCAAGCCTAGTTCCAGGAATGCCTAATCCATTTAGGGAACATAAGCTTAAAAATTGATTCCAGTTAGAATTGATTACAGAAAAGAATGTTAGCTTTAAAATATATTTATGAATGCAGTTTTTTAGAAACAAAAGATTACAGAAACAAAAGAACTCTTTGTGTATGGTTGTACACACCCAGAAAGTTCTGTAGGTATCTCTGTACAGATGAGTTCAAATGTTCATGCATGTTCATCCACATATGCACAGATGGGTCAGGGAATGTGTGTCGTGTGGGTATGAAGTACCTGGTGTATTTCTGATAACACACCTTTCCCCAAAGCCAGCTGCACGAGTCTAGGAGACTCTTTCTTTCCTTCAATTTTTAAAATTGAAGTATAGTTGATTTACAGTGTTGGGCCAATCTTTGCTGTGTAGTAAAGTGATTCAGTTATAAAAAATATGGAATGATTTATGAATTTGCATGTTATCCTTGTGCAGGGACCATGCTAATCTTCTGTATCATCCCAATTTTATTTTGTTTTTTATTTTTTAATCAGATGATAATTGCTTTACAATGTTGTGTTGGTTTCTGCCATACAACTAGAATCAGCCATAATTACACAGATAAATGTGTGCGTGTGTGTGTAGCATATATATATATGCTGCTAAAACAAGCACTTTCCCTCTTTCTTAATTTTAGCTGGGCAAGGGAGTAAGCCCCCATCTGTAGCAAGAGCTGTCTCTTCAACTTACCTCCCATACCTTACTCCAAACCAAATTATATAATCAAAAAAATCTTGAAGAAGAAAGCCCTGATTAGAGTTACTGCCTCCCTCCAACCTCAAAGCCAACACCCCACCCCGCTGAGCCCAGTGCTCCCCTCCGCCGCACTCGCCTTCATTTGCGCACCAATATGCCTAATATCTCACAGCCTGTCACCTTACCCTGTGGACTTTGGGTTCCAAATGGAGCCTCACAGCTTCTAGACAGGCAGGAACTCTGACGGAGAAGTTTTGACCCTCTGAGGGGCCTGGGTAGAAGGTTGCCTGGGGAGGGCGGGGAGCGAGTCAAGCCAATGACTTCTCTCTTTCCTGCCGTCCAGCCGTTTCTTCTCCTCTTTCTTCAGCGGGTCCCTCACGTCACTCCTCAGCTTGGTTGGAAAGACTCTCTCTCTCCCTCCCCCCAGCCCTCCCCTCCCAGCCCCACACGGACGCCTCCCACCTCCCACCTCATCCTTTCCTGTCTCTGTCTGCCATCTGTCTCTTTTTCTGGCACACTCTCTTTGAGGGAGCAAGTGGCTACCACCCCTACAGGGGACACCCACCCCTCAGATCCTGAGCTCTCCAAGAAGAGAAGGCAGCCGTGGGGCTTTGTGGAGGGATGGAGCTCACCTTTCCCGCTGTCTTCTCCAGCCCGAGAGTGAGGCGGCTTTGGTTTCAGAGATGAAATTCAAATATTTAAAGAGGTTCAGCTGAGGTACTCTGACTAGCACCACTACCTGCCACCTGAACCTCTAATATGGGACTATCAGTGCACCAAAATCACCACAGGGAGAGAGATTCAAAGAGGAGATGGACAGGGGATACAGTAGAATTTGAAAACCAGCTTCAAGCTCTCAGACAATGATGGAGAGGAAGATATAGGAAACTCTCTGGACCTACAAGGCTGGGCCCTAGAAAAGCATTTCCTGATCACAAACACCAGAAAGCATCGTGTGGGGCCCTCAGGTGTCTGAGGAGAACCTCCCCACTCCGGGGTCCTTACCAAAGACTCATTTCTCGGGAGAGACTCTTCTTTCCCTGGCGCCTTAGGCAAGCCCCTGCTGAAGGTGGTGGGAAGGAGCTCAGACACCCTCCTCCTGATTCTGCCAGCCTGTGTACACAGTTTGCCCAGGTTCTTACATAATACGCCTCGTCTCTGCTTCCTCCTGCTAATCATGTACTGAATCCCAGCTGCATGGGTCTCAGGATCATTAATTAATCATTAGGATCATTTAATCCAAATCTTTTATAGTACAGGTGGAGAATCAGAGGCCCAGCAAAGAGAGGTGACTTGCCCAAGATCACACAGAGCCAGAGTCAGGGCCTAAATCCTTAATTCATATGACCCCTGCCTTCTTTTGGAGAAGGAAATGGCAACCCACTCCAGTGTTCTTGCCTGGAGAATCCCAGGGACAGAGGAGCCTGGTGGGTTGCCAGCTATAGGGTTGCACAGAGTCGGACACGACTGATACTGTTGACTCAGCAGCAGCAGCAGCAGCAGCTGCCTTCTTTGCCTTACCCTGTAAGTCCTGAGGCCATGTGTCTCTGTGCCCTCAGAACAGATGGCCCTGGCAGAACTCACCTCTGCCCTGGCACAATGCCTGAAGGGGCAGAGCTAATAGCCTGGCCCAAGGGGCAGAGCCTGGCTTGCAGTGTTCCTGGGCACCAGCTGGAATGGAGGGGTCTTTCCCAGCCCAGGAACCTTGTCTCCAGAGCAAAATCTGTTCCTGATCCCCCGGCAGCCCCTGGCACGAGGAGAGACACAGAGGGCTCTGCAGGTGGAGAGAGTCCTGGAGCCCGGAAGGTGCCCAGGAAGCAGGCGGCGCATGCGGTGGGCGGCCCTCAACCTTCTCCACAGCCGAGGCTCTGCGTTCAGATTCCCCGGCCCACTCCAGTCAGCAGGCCGCACCGCTTGTTCCCTGAGAAGAAAGCGGTNCCCGGCCCACTCCAGTCAGCAGGCCGCACCGCTTGTTCCCTGAGAAGAAAGCGGTGTGACTGCTCCTTCATCTCCCCTGCAGTCGGCCCCCGCTCCCCTGGGCCGCACCGCCAGCGCTTCTGCTCTCTAGTCGGTGCCTGTGGCCCCTGCAAGCCCTGCTCCAGCTCTCGGCCGCTTCTGGTCCCGTCGCGCATGCGCCAGTTCCCTGCTCCGCAGGCCCCCGGCTGAGCCGCTTCTGATTCAGGCTTCGAGTTCTAGACCCTCAACTTGCCCTTCTACTCTCGGCTTCACAAACACACCCGACACGCTGTCTGGTTACCATGGATTTCAGGGAGGGTCCATGGTGTGTGTGTGTGTCTGTGGTGTGTGTGTGTGTGTGTGTGTGTGTGCGCGCGCACGTGTGTGTGTGAGGGTCCATGGTCTGTCTGGTTACCATGGATTTCAGGGAGGGTCCATGGTGTGTGTGTGTGTCTGTGGTGTGTGTGTGTGTGTGTGTGTGTGTGCGCGCGCGCACGTGTGTGTGAGGGTCCATGGTGTGTGTGTGTGCGTGTGTATGAGGGCCTGTGGGGTGTGTGTGAATGATCTGCATGGGAACCCTCTAACTGTCCTGCTGTTGTTCCAGGCAGCTCAGCCCTGGAGAGCCGCTCTAATCCGAGCCTCATTAGGAGAAGCAGGAGGCGTGATGATGGAGTGGAGGTGGCAGGCCCTGGGGACAGAGGTCTGGGGCAGGGTGACCCTGTTGCTTCCCTGTTCCTGGGCACAGAGAGAGGCAGAGGTGGACTTTTCTGGAACTCCCCTGCTTTTTGATAGCAGGGGTCTATTTCCTGCCAAGGGCTTGTAGCCACATAAATCCATGACTGCAAATCATTCCTCTTCTCTCAGACACACACACACACACACACCCCACACACCCCCTCCCCCACGATAGAATCCATGTTTTCTGATCTTTTCCTCAAGCTGGTTCCCTTCTTTCCTGCTTATGTGCTTTTTCCTCCTTCTCCCACCTGGCAAAATCTGATTCAAATCTTAAGATCCAGCGCAAATGATAGGAACCATTCTGGTTTCTCCCAGGCAGAAGTAGAGACCCTCTCCACAATGCTTTTTGTACCCAGCATTATTGCAGACACTTAAGACATGCAATTACTAATTCATGGATTTTCCCTTTATGAATTCCTCAAGGGCAATGGGGGTATATATTACCTGTCCTTGAATTCTTAGCTGGAAACCTTGCACACAGTTGATACACACTTGCTGAATACACACTTGCTGAATTGAACTGAGGCAGAAATTTAGGAGGCAAGGTAGCAGGAGTGGGACAGTATCTGGCAGTTTTTTATCCAAAAGAAGGTGTAGTCCAGGAGGATTACAAGGTTGGTTCTGAAACAAACCTTTCACCTGAAGAGAGGTTCCAGGGCATCCTGATCTTGCCCCTCTGTGAATATCTGCATGGCCTACAGACCATTCCAGATGAAGTGGTTGGTCCTTTGCTTACTGCACTTGATATACCTCTGCCACACTGTTCTGTGCATCTTATACTACCGATCCTCAACTAGTCTGTAAGTTTTGTCTGGTTAGGAATGGAGTCTGGTTTGTGTCTCTCTGTATCTGTCTCAGTACTGAGCATTTGGGAGACCCTCAACCATCTAGTAGTATCTGTGGGTTGAAAAGAACTTGGAGTTTTGGGCTTCACATGTAGCTGCCAGATTTTTTTATCTGAGTTTAGGAATGGGGGAAGTTCACCAAGAAAAGGTTTTAGAATCATTTCCCTAGAGTTTCTTAGGAATAGGATCCTATCTCTACCAGTCTTCTCAGAGGTAGTAAGGTTGGAGGCAGGGGGAGAGGGTGGCAAGATGAATTTAAGGTACTATTCTCACCTGTTTACATTGTCAAATTCAAGCAGGATATTTTTCATATCACTTTATTTTCTCTGCTGTGAAGCGTGATGGAATGTGAAAGTTGTTTCACAAAGTTGTTATGACCTTCAAGAAAGAATAGATGTAGGTACAGAGTACACATACACACCTACTTACACATCTGTATGTGCCTATGCCAACAGCACTGAGAGAATGAAGTTGTATATGAAGTTGTATATGGAGGAGGCAGCCTCCTTAAACCGAGGGGAACCCAGCGTGTTGTGTGTGTGTGTGATTCTATAGGCAATTCATTTCCTCTGGTTTACAGCTGCAGGGAGCTCTAGAGGAAGCCGGTGTATTCTAGACAGGGCAATGGGATGATGGTGATTCTGTTGCTACTGAAACAAAACAGTTCAGGTTTGCAGGAGCAGGGGAATGACCCCTCCTCCCTGAGGAGTCCTAGGTGCTGTGCTTATTATCAGAGGGGCTGAGGGTGCAAGGTGGGAGTAAGACACACAAGGGGGCTTATCCAAGCCTAGCACCTTGGCTACAATTTATCTTGACTTTAAGCAAGAGCTTTGGAGAAACTAGCTGCAGCTGCAAAGAATGAAGCAGTTGGATGGGAACATGGGGAGGAACTTGATGAAACGGGCCTATTTTCTGTAAATTAGCAAAAGAGAAAAATTAGAATAAAATGGAGATTTCTTGAAGTTAGGGAGCTAGCTTAATCCAATTTCTTAAATATCTCTGGAACTTTTCTCAACCTAACTTGAGAGTGGGCACTGTGTCCTATTCATTTCTAGGACACACCCCGTCCCCAGTCCCACCAACGTACACTTGGGGGTGGTAGGGGGGGCAGCTCCACCCACTAGAGGGAGGAAGGGGGAGATGATGGTCAGTTGGCTCTGCGGGACTTGGGCTTCCCTTAGAGGGTTTTCACACACTGCTCCCCGGGGCCAGATTGGGGAGCAGTGTGTGTGAAAACTTTGGGGGAAGGATAGTCCATACAGGGAATAAATTATTGCAAAGGAAGGGGATAATGTTTAGGACTTGTCCTGCCTTAGAACATGGTCTAGAGGGTGGAGCTGCGTGGGGAACATGAGCTCCAGAGGGTCCTTGGAGGGGTACCGTAGCCACCACCTTAGTCTACCACCTGGAAGCAGAGAGCAGAAGGGACCCGCAAGGTGAGAGGGCAGAGGGGAACAAGCCATATCCTCTTCTGGGTTCCTGAAGTTTCCCTCTTGGGTTCGCTCATATGGGAACCAGTTCCCCTATCTTGATGCCTCTATACCTGAGTGCCCTATAGACCCCAGAGGACAGAGACCATACGTATTGCCCACAGCTTTTCAAGTGGGAACTTGAGGCCAACTTCTGACCTTGGCAAATCGCCCCAGAATGGTGATGAGGACACGGGCCAGCTGCGCAGCACACCTACAGATG